TAATTTTACCTTTGACCTAGTTTTTATAATAAAGTGCACTTTTTCAATTTTCCTGGCCTTATTTCTCCAAAACTAGAAGAGATGAACCCATATTTACTTTTAATTTGAATAAAGAATAATAAGTGCCAAATCCAAATTTGGCTTTAAATTTGGCCTTTGGCCTACTATTTTTTACAGTGAAGGGCACTTTTTTATTTCAATTTTGGCCTTGAATCTCAAAATTTATCTTCTCTATAACCATTAAACTTGAATATGAAAATCACATTTTACAGATCCAAATGTGACCTTGAATTTGACCTTTAAACTACTTTGACTACATTTTCTCTACTTGTCTTTAGAGTCCTTTGAATTTTTAGAAAGTTTCTTTCACTTCCAATGATATCTTGTAGGACAGTTTATATCTACCCTTATTATGCACAACTGTATACTTTAAATCCTGACCAATAAAGCTTGTTAAAGAAGTGGCTCATCCTTTGGGCACATAATGTTCCAACTTGCAGTGCCCTTGTTTTTAGTTTATTTAAGTCAACAAATGCTTCGAAATTGAAAAATTACAATATGGTAGGAAGGACTATAAGAAAGCCATTTGAATAAAAGTAAATAGATTATTTGTTCACGAGAAAGCATAGAGCCATACAAATAGATAAGAAGGCTATTTGTCTTGAAGGTTTTTTTCTGGAAGATTACTTCTTTTTGTGTGACAAAACTCTTTACAATTATAAAATGGAAGTAATACCAATCTGGAACTGTGAATGTGATCCCCCATGTGAATGTTCATTGTTTTTACATAGATACACTGCATTTAAGTTTTTAACCTTTCTTCTCATCATCCACTGACTTTATTAATTTTGTGATTTTGACCCCTAATTTTTGCATGTTGTATTGTGGTACCATGTCATGACTTTCACAGGTAGTTGTTTTAGTTGGTAAAAGATGTCCATTGATTAGGTTGGTGGTTTTGGCACATTGTTTTGTTACATGTGAAACTGGTTTTAGAATAGACTGGTATGATGTGCTTAGTGTATAATTAACAGACTTTCATGAAGCATATCCATGCTTTACTGGTACACCGTTTCCTTGCTTGTGTGGCTAAAATTTTCTATGTAGCTTGCATGTATGATATACTGTACCCATGCATGTGTCAGGTATTGCATAAACTATTTTTGAGTGGGAGATGGAAGTATCTCTGTGTTGTAGAAGTTATATGTACTAGGGGATGGGGTATCATTGTTTAGGTTGTTTGATAGATTTGCATGTTATTGAATGTCATTATATATATATATAATTACCAGGTTCACAACCAGCCTGCATTTTAAGGTGCTCATATGTTGTGTGACTGTTGATATTTTTGTAATGAAATGTGTAAATTGACCAACCAGCCAACTGGTTATTGCAACAAGTCTTTCACTTTCCTTATTATCATGTTATACTGATTATTAATTGAAACCCAGGTCTGTGAACTGCTTTTCTATTTATTCTTCTGTATTGATTCTTACAATTCATGTTAAGTAGAATGAGCTATGAATTTTCAGATTCAACTCCATGCTGTTGATCTTTTTCTTTATATAATATATATTAGCAGACCAAATATTTTCCAAGGAAGGCAATTATTGCCTGTTCTTGTTGGTGTTTGAAGGTTTTCTTTGATCTTGATATAATAACACATTATCGATGTGAAATAGCCAATTAAATTTGTCTGGTCTTCTGACTCTTCCAATATATATTTTTGTACTAGGCTCTTTGTTTCATTGAGTTCACATTAAATCAATTTCAGTTCAAATCAACAAGCCTGTGATTAAGTCAATTTCATGCTTTGTCATGATGTTAAATATATCTTATAGGGATACCAATAGACAAATTCTGACAAAAATCAGTCTCAGAATTTGGCTGATGAGATCACTTCAAACTTCAATTAAGCATCTGCCTCTTTTGACAAATGCAGTATTCGACAACTATCTGACATGCCCCTATATCCTTTGTGTGTAAGATGTAATATCTGCTGTTTTGAAAATGACTGTTCCGATGTACATTTTACTGACACCATACACAAGCATTCCTAAATCCTGGCTGTTTAACAGGGCATCATGTATTGTTATCTGGATAATAAAAAAGAGGTCCGTTTGACCCACATTATGCACATTATCAATGAGAAAGGCTGTTTTGCTTCTAATCAATTTCTTACCTGTGTTAATACAGGTTTGTAATTATTTATGCATTATCATGGCTCATGTCACTGGAGAGCGCATGTGGTGTCCTCAAATGAAGTATCTGAATACCTCAGAGAAGTTTTAAAGTCAGCACCTCACTTTTTTATGTGCAATTGTACGCCTGGATATTTAATTGATGCCACATGCTACAGATCCTATAGAACAGGTGTCAGTCAGTCTGTCCTCCTTCCTTGTCAAAAACTTGTGAATACATGCATTTATGAAAATGGGTTTACCTGATATGGAATATAAGCCTCCCATGGAGCTTTTGGAAAGTTGGTGACTGGTTCGAATTCCCCTACACCTTCCTCGTGATGTCCCAGCAGCCTATTTTAGACAATTCTTGAGTTAAAATTTAGCAAAAGGTTGGGCTGTGAATTTTGTATACTTGATTTCTGTGATGGGTAGATAAGTCTGGCATAATAACTGAGTTATGTTCCTATTAAGATGCACTAATTTCTAATTCTTATTTATTTTCAATATACATTGTCTTTTTCTTAAGTTATGTGATGATTCTAAATTAAATTCATATTCCCCTATGAATATTGTTCGGCAAAATGCTGCATTTTTTACACTATTTCTGTTATCTAAAAAAATTAATAGAAATTAAATTTGTTGACCTGAGGAATATTTCTTTTTATAGAGAAAATTGGAGTCAATAATAATAATAACATAAAAATAAACATTTTATTCTCTACACAAGGTTGGTCATGTTGCAAATCTTGACATGCAGCTCTTTGGCCAACGTTGTTGTGCATAAACTGGAACATTTTTTACAACTGGACCCTATGATATATCGTACTATCTTGATGTTCAGCACTATCATTAAATCCAGAATTACATATAATTTTAGGAGATTTGTGTGCAGAGCTAGGTGTATCTCAGGGTCAATATCAGTTTACCAGTGCACTGAGACAAAGGATTGTCTCAGGAGATTGCATTTCTTTCCTGCAATGTTAACAGATCCCTCCCCTTCCCCTCAAATATAAATATATACTCACTATGTAACTGTTAAAACACTCTTGTCTAGCTTTTTTTTCCCTTTTATGGTCTTTTCAATTCCTTATATGAATGCACTGTACCATCCATACCTTAGTTATCAAAGTTGACTGCAAGTGATTGAGGTATAGCTTGCTTTACTACTTGCTGTGGATCTAGCATGCTTTAATGCACACGTCTTTATGGCTTGGTGTGGAAATCAAACCCACTGTTGCAGTTCTGGCTTGCAACAAGACTATCTGTTAAATATCCCTTTGATAGAAATGACTGTGCTTTGGTTCTTGGCTGACTGCTAATTCAAAGATGCTTTATGTTAAATTATTTAACATGCATAAGCAATTGTTTTCAGGCATAGAAATTGGTTTAGAAAACACCAGTGCAGACACACGAGGTTCAATGGAATATGGTCTGTAAAATATGAGTAAATTTCTGCCTATTTATATTATGGACCTGTTGAATTCTGTTTCAATTATATTCCAATAATTCCAACACTTGTATTGGAAATTTTTCATTTTCTACTGCTACATGTTTGTTGCTAGGGGAAATCTCTTCATATACAAATGTGTATATTCTTAGATAATTAGGTTACAGTAGAATCTATTGCAGACACCTGTATATCTTGCCTATCTAGAGAAAGAGACATAAATAGAGGATATTTGTCTTCAGCCTGCAGCAAAGTGGCACATGAACATCTATTTACTTAATAACAATAGGGATAAGGTTATCTTTGTCTTCTTGTGTTTTTATAGAAATTTTATACATAATTATTAACATTTATATCACAAAATTTGATTGTGGAAGAGTTCTAGTTTTCCCCCTGGTGTTTATGAGAACTGCATAAAACTGATTATCTGTGTTCAGGGAAAAGCTAGGCCAGGTACATGAACAACACACAATATGGTATTGATTTTTTCATGGAAAATTCAGAAGGTCGCATAGAATTGTGCACAGACATTATTCAGTATCTGCTGTGAATGAAATAATAAGTGAATGTAATGTATCTAAAAAGCCACCTTGCTGCAGGAACAAAGTGTTGCTGCAAATGCTAATTTTAAATGATCCAAATGAATGAAATTATACACTGCTTTGTCTATTCAATTGCATACAATATCACATAAATGTATTGCTACACGGGCATGTATAAGTGCATACATGCATAGCTGTAGGCATAAGAACACGTGTACATGCATACACATGCACAAGCACTAATAACTATAAATAAAATGGGAGAAATGTCACTGTATTTTTGGTAGCTATGCCAATACAGATTGATGTTAAAATTGTATGCTCTTGACACAGCTAGTATTACTTTCTTGCACAGTAAATATAGTGGTATTTCTGTTATATGTATCATTATAATGAACATCCTGTTATTATTTAGTTATTGCCATCATGCTGTAACCACATCACATATTAGTCTGTTGGTTTGTATAATGACCTCATGTAATCTTGAGTTACCCACCATTTTGTGGTTACTGTAGTAGTATAAAGTTGATATTTTGATGCAAGTACAATTATAGCTTATGCCTTTGATATCATTTGTCTATTGTAAACTGTTATTATACATTGCAACAGCTTAAAAGCAGTCATGATCACTTCATTGATGGTTTTCTTTAACTTAGTTTATTATGATGCTAGAATAATAAGCTAGGTATTGAAGTGCAAGTGTAATCATCTAAAAAGTTCAATTACTTTAATCACACAATTAAAGTTTATTGCTATGAGTTGTAAATGTTCAGTTTTGTGCATATTTCTGTCGGGACAATGAGTGCATGCCTATTCTTCTGTTATCAGGTTCAAAGTTTTTTCCGAGGATGGCTTTGCCGCAGACGTTGGAAACAAATTGTAGAGGAATATATTCGATCACCGCATGCAGAAATGATGCGGAAGCGGAATAGCATTGTTTTTGGGATGGTGGAAGGAGAAGAGGAATATGTCAAGCAACTTTCCACTTTAGTATCTTGTTTCCTGCGCCCAATGAAAATGGCAGCAAGCTCCAAAAAGCCACCTATCACTCACGAAGACGTCAATTCTATATTCCTGAACAGGTGCTGTATAGATGGTGTAACACACTACATTTCTGAATATTTCACCATGAATCATCTAAACTGCTGGTTTCAAGGTCCATTGCTAAATTATAGAACTTTCAAATTTGATAATAAATTGAACGGTGATTTTTTGACAATTGGCAGTGGTTTGTCCATGCATGTAGCTATCAGAACTGTCACCTCTGCAGCAGTGGAAAAGCTGTACTTATGACCCATCATTTCTAAAATGTTTTACTATTGTACATAAAATAATAGTTTTACTTTCTATCACTTTCTATTGCAGTGAAACAGTATTGTTTCTGCACCAGATCTTCATGAAGGGTCTTTGTGCAAGAATGGAGAACTGGCCTACTTTAGTACTTGGTAAGACAACCACATCAAATCATAATGCTACTGTGTTTCAATAATCACTGCTTATTAATCAGGGTAATTCTAATTCTTGACTTCTTGCTTAAACATGAACTAAATAGCTGTTTATATGTTATACATTGTAACTTTTAATATGAAAATGTCAAAAGAAAGTAGTAATATGACATTGATGAGAGTCAAATTTTTTTCATAAGAATTATGAGTTATTCATCTCCATCATTCCAGGTGATCTGTTTGATATGCTCCTCCCAATGCTGGGAATTTACCAGGAATATGTACGCAACCACCATTACAGTCTACAGGTGCTGGCAGAGTACAAACAGAAACTGGAGTTTAGCACACTTCTTAAACGTTACGAGGAGAAACCACCATGTGAAGGGAGGTCTCTCGAAACTTTTCTCACATATCCTATGCACCAAGTAAGCACCTGTTGTTATAAAATAGATCAGATTGATTTGAATAAAGATAAATTGGCAGTATTTTATCTTTAATCTTTGTAATTTGTAAAGGTTTTCAAACTTGAGATGAAAAAGAGTATCTGTGTTCTAGCCTTAGAAATTTCAAGCAGTTTCTCTGCAGTAAATTAAAGGTTTCAGATTAAAAATTAGTTTCTTCAAATTAATGATTTAATTAGCATGCTGCAGAAAGCTTTTTTTTTTTTTTTTTTTTTTTTTAAGATTTAGCTAAAGTAAAAACTGAATTTTAACCAAAAAAATGAAAATTAAAAATGAGCCAACACAATTAGAAATTTATGAAAATTAGAAAAAAAAATGCAAATTATTTATGTGCTTCTTTGAGTATAGTTTAAGCGCAATTAACCTTTACCAATCTTGATGCCATTCAGTGTTATTTGTACACTATTGTTTCTTAGATACCTCGCTACATTGTCACACTTCATGACTTGCTTGCTCATACTCCGCATGACCATGTGGAAAGAAAAAGTTTAGAATATGCCAAGGGGAAGTTGGAGGAATTATCAAGGGTAGGCTGTCAACCCTGTTTTGCTTGATTCTAAATATACAGGATTAGTTGTTTTTACAGAACCAATGTGCCATCATCCTATCAATTCTTGATTATTAATTCCTATGTTATATTTGTCTGTTTCAGTCTGTGTACTTTAAGCCATTTACTTAACTTTTCTTTGTTAAAGCCAGCAAGTCAGGGTAGGCATTATGACCTTACAAGGTCAAAGCCATTAGATCAGAGTTGGGGCTAGGCTGAAGCCTAAGGGAAAAATTTCTGAATTTAACCTCAACATTTTTTGATGTAAATATTCATCAGAACATGAGCATATACCATTGAGAGGGTACCTGTTTTAGCCAAAATAAANCTTTTTTTTTTTTTTGTACAGATTCAGCTAAAGTAAAACTGAATTTGAACCAAATAAATGAATATTAACAATGAGCCAACACAATTAGAAATTTATGAAAATTAGAAAAGAATATGCAAATTATTTATGTGCTTCTTTGAGTATAGTTTAAGCGCAATTAACCTTTACCAATCTTGATGCCATTCAGTGTTATTTGTACACTATTGTTTCTTAGATACCTCGCTACATTGTCACACTTCATGACTTGCTTGCTCATACTCCGCATGACCATGTGGAAAGAAAAAGTTTAGAATATGCCAAGGGGAAGTTGGAGGAATTATCAAGGGTAGGCTGTCAACCCTGTTTTGCTTGATTCTAAATATACAGGATTAGTTGTTTTTACAGAACCAATGTGCCATCATCCTATCAATTCTTGATTATTAATTCCTATGTTATATTTGTCTGTTTCAGTCTGTGTACTTTAAGCCATTTACTTAACTTTTCTTTGTTAAAGCCAGCAAGTCAGGGTAGGCATTATGACCTTACAAGGTCAAAGCCATTAGATCAGAGTTGGGGCTAGGCTGAAGCCTAAGGGAAAAATTTCTGAATTTAACCTCAACATTTTTTGATGTAAATATTCATCAGAACATGAGCATATACCATTGAGAGGGTACCTGTTTTAGCCAAAATAAACTTAGAGGATTACTGTAACTCCTATAGAAAAATATTGTTTTGGGGTTATCCCTTACATTAATATATGCTTTTTTCTCTACTCTAGGTGATGCATGATGAAGTCAGTGAAACAGAGAACATCCGTAAGAATCTGGCAATAGAACGGATGATAATTGAAGGCTGTGATATTTTATTAGATGTCAACCAGACCTTTGTAAGGCAAGGTATGCACATATGATAGAAAAAAAATTAGGCAAATGAATTAAAAAAATTGAGATCACAGGAATAGATTTTAGTTTCAGAATATACAGTAACTTATGCATTTTGGCTGTATTACATAGTGCTTATAACAAAAATATGGTGGATTTGGTGTTACCATAACCAAACATGAATATTTTTTCATTATGTTAGGACTCGAACTCTGGTAATTCCTTGTTTGTTTACTTTTAAATTAACTTTCCGTATGAAATTTTCGCCTGTCAAGAAATAATGATATCTGCAGAAATCACAACAAATTATTTCCTTATTCATGGTGGTATGACATTTATATGAGTTAAGAATAGGGAGGACTTTGTGCAGTTGATTAACAAACCCGTGGTTGGGCTCAATGTTGTTTTTATTAAATCACCTAAGGCTTATACATTATGAGCTTTACTGCAATTCCACTTCCTCAGGTTGTCTCCTGCAAGTAATGACAGAGAAGGTGAAACCCAATAGAGGTCGTCTGGGGTCATTTAGCTCTTCTTTTAAAGAAAGCAAGAAAGAGACGGTACGCCAAGTGTTCCTGTTCACAAATCATCTGCTGATAACGTCCAGAGCATCCAATGGAAGACTACACCTTGCAAAGGTAAGGAGCTTGAATGTAAGTACAATTTTCCCCGAAGCTTTTTGCATCTCACATTCTTCACTTATGCTGTCTTATTTGATTTAACCCTTGAGGAATATCTGTGTATGTATAGTTATATAATCGATAGCCAGTAAAATGAAAGTTCTAACTTCAAACAAAAGAATGAGAAAAAAATGAGGAGTTGAAAGATTTTGAAATAAGAAGCATGCAAACTTACAAGTTGTCTACCCTCTTGGGGTACACTATTGTTTAAATTGACCTTAATACAACACTTATATTTGACATTGATTTATTATAGAACTATGGCAAAATACCTCTGATTGACTGCACATTGGTGGAGGACTCCAACTCGGACATCTTCTTCTTTGATGATGAGGGTATGAATGTTGCTAGGCACATGCACACTAAAATACATTGCCCAGTGCTGAAGATGTTTTCATTTTACTTGTTTTATGTATAAAGATACAAATTGTGGATTTGATTGAAATAAGGATGTATATTATGACCTCATTGTTTGAAAGTTATTGGGAATGTTTATTGCACATTTTTGTGCAGTTGGTATGTTTGTTTTTTGATTTGGTGATAACTTTCAGACCAATGTGAGCTTATTGTACGTGTTTTTGCAGAGTAGTTGTCTCTTTATATATGTATTTTTGTCGAACAAAATAACAGCCTAGTTAAAAAGATTTAAAGTTATTTTCAAGCCACATAACATCTATATGTATGATAATATTTCTTTGTTTGATAAGATAAACATTCCACCATTTAAACTTGAAACATTTTTTTTTTCAAATCATTCTTTTTCTTTTGATTTTCTTTAATTTTTTCAGCCTCTTCTATGGAAAGCTTGAATAACCTGCCAGGCAGCAATACTCTGAGTACACCAAATGAATCCTACTCTGACAAGAAACTCTCCATAGACTACAAGGGATTGGATTTCAAGATAATAGTGGACTCCAAGAGTGGCCCACCCATGACCATAACACTGGTGGCATCCTCCCTACAGGACAAGGCGGCATGGTGTAGTGACATTAGTCAGGTAGAGTGTGAAGCTTTTTTTGTGCTAAGCATTTTTTTGCTTATATTTTTACTTATTTGAAATATTGAACAATATTCCAGTCAAATAATTAAAATTTCCATTTTTTTATTATGTAAAGACATACTAGACAAACAAAGAATGTGACATTGCTATATCTTTATCAACACATACACACAGGCATGGCACGCATGCACATGTGCCCATGCACACACACACACATCATTTATTCTAATGGAATTGTATATACTTCAGTGCATAGAAAACCTGCACTACAGTGATCTACTGAACAGCTCCATGAGTGACACTTCCTCAGTCACCATGCCACAGTCTGTGAGGTAAGCTTCTGGAATATCTCTAAGAATAAGGTTTTGTATACTTCACTCTCATGTTTTAGATGCCAAGTCAGATTAATTTATAATGCATATATCTGCATATGCATGGTTTGCTTGTCTTAGATATACATATATATATATAGATATATAGATGTCATTGCCAACAATCTTCTTGAGAAATCATTTTCAGAGCTTTTTTTTTCATCTCTTGATTGAATTTGAGAAAAATATTAACCCTGCATGAAAAAAGACCCAATTTACAGATCAACAAATTATATGCTATCAAGTTACAAACTTTAAGATTACCTCTTTACTCTTGATTAACACTTCTTTATATCTGGAACTTTATCTTGGGCTATTAAGAGATCTGACTTATACTTTTACATTTACTTGAAAATTGCATGAGAAACGTTTTTGTCATTATTCTTACAAAAATCATTTTGAGTTCCAAAAACAGTTTAGAGATTGATTAGATGTCTACATAGTATCAATAAGAAGAAGCTTGAACCAAATATCTTGAATTATATAGTAATGGGAATTTTAGAGAAAATCGGGTGTTGTTAATTATAGAATCTAATTCTTAAGTCTTTCTAAGCTTTCTTTTTCTCAGTCTCATAGATATATATCCATCCCACAGGATTTTTATTATCTTACTTCTTACTTACTGATTTCCTTAAAGGCAGAAAAGTGGAATTGGCCTTTAATCTTGTATTTACTTCTTATTCGAGTGGGACTTTTAAAAATTCAACAAGTCTCTGTGCATGCTCTTTATACTGTTTTTTTCTTCCAACTTCTTTTAACTTCAGAATTAATATAACTGCATCTTGTTATCTTTTAACCATTTCTTTATCTTTTGAAGTGTAGATATAATTGTTCCTCATTCTTGTTTTAATTCTCCATATACGGATATATGTTTTACTAATCCATATACTTGTTATGTAAAGGACAAGAAAGGAAAATCTTTTAGTCCAGAAATTATACTGTTAAATTTGGAAAATTTCCCCGAATTTAAACAAAATTTCCTTTCTTGTTTTTTTTTCTGTATCATTCATGTCATTGATGGACTTACAATTAACTGCATAAATATATGAAGTCAAATAAACAGCAGCTACTGATATGGTGCTTAAAAAGCAGCTTGCTGATACCACTTGCTAAGTATTAATATAAGAGTAAAGAATATAAGAATATACCATTGAGAGGGTACCTGTAAAGTATGAACAATTGAAATTTTGAGATAAAATGGTCTAAATTGTTTTGAGTTTAATATCTATGGTCAGTAGATTAGAGCTGTGCACAAGTGGCAATTCTTGGTTAGCAACTAACAAATGTTTTAACCTCTCTGCTTTAAAACTACCTCTCGACTATCTGAACACTCCCGTAGCAGTGATCTTGTAGTAGTGCACCATTCACTATTTATTCACCACAACTTGAATTAATCAAAGAACCGCTTTATTGCATGGCGCCAGGTACATTCACAGCACTCAGATATGGTGAGTGAGTATTAGATCTCGTGTGTTGATGTGTGTGTGTGAGTGCGTGTGTGTATGAGTGTGTGTGCCTTTCATAATAATGTCAGACTCTTGCTGACATCACAGGTGTGATATTATATGTTCTTTGAATTCTCTTGTTAGCTTTTGCCATGATCACTTATTTAAATCAAAATCCCTCTTGCATGATGAGTCTTCTGATCTTTGAATTGAATAATTTAGGAGATTTGGTAGATGTGAAATATTGACCATCATTCTAATATGTATTGAAAGTAATGTTAATACCCTATGGCCTTGCTTCTTACTGTCCAAGAAATTTATTTGGAAGATTTTTTGGCTTCCAAGATCATATTTTGTCATTTATTCAAAATTATGCTTACTGTAGCATTTTGTGCAGTTTATGATTTGCAAACTTCATAAAGGTGGGCAAAAATGGATTTGGAACTTCTTTTAGAATTAACTGAAAAAAAGAAAATGTGTCATTTTATTTGAGACCTATTTCTTCAAAAGATGTGATTGATATCAAAGGGAATGTACAACAGAAAGAGATAAAAGAAAATTATGACCTTTTGAGAAGATAATAATTGTTATGTATCAAAATCTTAATGACAGAAAGAAGAGGTTATAAATGTGGGGACAGCTGCATATAGCTAGTTTGATATCTTTTTTCTACTTTGTGTGTGGTATTCATAGATAACTATTCTTTAATGTTGAAGTATCCTGGTATCCTGATACTTAGGAGTGAAGTATCAGTTAAGGGTTCAAAGGTACACAGACAAGTCGAACTGTAGTGAAAAACTGAATGTCTTATGTAGCAGGAAGAATGTTCTGAGCAGAAATATCAGGAAAGTGGAATGTTAAAAAGTATATGTCTATGTCAGATAAGAAGCAGTGTGCAGAGATCTGTTTAATTCTCACTTCTTCCAAAATATTCCGTATTAATTTCGTATTTCTGCTCAGGTGGTTTTAGGTTTTGATTTAAAGGTGACCAATTATTTACCATAAGCTCCAAAGTGATATTAATCTAGGATAGAAAATAAAGATATTTTATGTCCTAGTATTAATTAATCAACTTTAATCCCTGTACCCCTCTTCCCAACCTGCTAATATTCATGTTAAAGGTGGATACCTAAAGTATTAGTAGTATTTATTTCAGATATACAAGAAGATATACAATTTTATAACACTAAATATGCGAGCAGAGCAAAAAATCTTCCATACTTCATATTTACATTTTTACTAAAAGCCATTTTCCACAATTTTTCGGATTACGTTATAGACACATTTTGAGGGTAATAATGCCATTTTCGGTTGCAGAGATTTCTGTCCCCCAGAGCAGCTAACAGTTTAGTTTAAATCCATGATATCTTAAATCTTCCATGTGTATTTAAGAATATGCTTCAATTGTTAAGGATTTAAAAAGGCCCATTCTTCATTGGTTTTCTGTCTTCTGTGGCTCATTTATCTGACATAAAAGACTGAACTAAAACAGTGGACACATCTGTTTTCCACATATTCTTTCCCAACCACTAAAAATGCAAAATAGTATCTCATATGGTTTAGAACAAAAATTTCAAAACAGAGGCAATATGAATGATAGCTTAGAATCATAACTGGAGTGCCATGGTCAAATGTTCTTGTTTAGATGCTATCTCACATCATGTATAGCAAGATATATATATATATACACCTATTTGCAACAGATTTTATACTCTGCCTTAAATAGATTATCAATTGATTAATTAAAAAAAGCTTTTTTCAAACATGGTATAGATTTCTTTCTTTTTGATGTAAGTTTAAGTGTTAACACATAGGATGACTAAAAGCCTAAAAAAGCAAATTTTGGTAAAACCAAGGTACTCCCACCATAAATATGTTTAGTATTAATTAGATATATAGTGGATTAAAAACAGCCATTGCATCTAACAGCAGCATGGAATTTTTGAACAAAGGAATTTAGGCATGCATTTTCTCTGGCAACCATAGTACAAAATTGTTGTTTACCATTATTTGTATATACATTATACCTAAAAGCCAGCCAGTGTAAGGCATGGGGCAGTGAATGGTAAATCTCTGGTCACCTATTTATAAAAATAGAAACCATAACTTGCATATATTTAACTTTAGTGATTTTCCTTGAAAAGATAATCTTTGAATATATTAATAATTATTTCATGTGCATGAAAACTGAGCTAACGCTAACATTATTGTGTTGCTTGCTTACAGTTATATTACATTTGTGTTTTTGGGTTTGATGTTTTTTTTTTTTTTCAAGTAAATATATTGTTAAGATATTTTAATTTTATGAAGTATCAAACCTTTTTATTTCTCAAAACTGTACATTTGTAGAAATGTTTGTAGTTCTCATTATTACAGTTTTGTGTAGAGTTTATAATTTCACTTTCTTTTTCTGCCATTTGACATTAGTTTATTGTCACATCATGCATTTTCATGTTCTATTGTATTGCTTGCAAAAATGTCAGCTGTGCAGGTGTTCAGTGAAATTATAATCAGTTGATTGTTAAATTATATTTTTATCAGTTTTCATATAGTTACTCCAGCTGCAATATGATTATCTGAAAACCACATGGCTTTTCTTCTATTTATTTTAAATAGAATTTCATTTAAGTTTCTATTGAGTTCCAATATGAAAGAGAATGGCACATGTTCACACTTCGTTATTGCCGTGTTTTCCTCACAGTTGAACACCGCCAGCCCTTTTGGGTGCAAGAATAAATTCATTAATCAAAGCAGTGAAAATCAATTCTGAACCTCAGCTTTCTGGACAAGCACTGTTTTGCTAGCTTGTCATAGCAAAAAAATCTTTTGCTTTTGGGATTTTATGTTGCTTCTATAAATGATTTTGTTTAGGTCTGACCCCAAGCTCTTCAGGGATGACATTGATATCAAATTCAGCAGAACTCTCAACTCTTGCAAAGTTCCTCAGGTATGATTAAGGTTCTGTGTATGATAGATATTGCAGTAAGTGGCATTATACACATTGGTCATAGGCCAGCAAATCAGTTCTAACTTCAAGTTAAAGTTTGGGATTAAAACTAAGATTGCATTGAATTTCAAGTTAATGTCATGTTATCCAATACAGAAAGGACTTCTGAAATGTTCAGAAGTTATAACAAATAAAACCAAATGATCTTTAACATCAGATTGTTCAGTACATGCCTTTTTTTTTTAGATCCGCCATGCATCGGTGGATAAGCTGCTAGAGCGTCTGACAGATCTCAGGTTTCTCAGCATAGATTTTGTGAACACATTCCTCCTGACCTACAGGGTGTTCACCAATGGAGATGCTGTGCTGGAAGCCCTGAAGAAGGTCTACAAGAACCCTGAGTGTGGAGGTATTGAAGGCTCTGGCATGGCCCCAGCTTCCTTACAAGCACAGTAAGTTACCCATGATAATGATGAGATTTTTGTTGATTTATTGAGTTATTTGCTTCTTTGATTTTTGGAGGATGAGGAGAGGGGTTTGAAATGAAAAATATTATTCCAATCTGTTTGTCTGGAGCGATTTAAATGGAAAACTAATAAAAAGCACTAATAGGGTAATATGGATTCCTTTTTTAACATTTAATTTAATAATTTATATAGCACTCAAATGTTTACAAATTACATTTCACAGCATCTATATGCTATTAGTTTTTACATATGTTTATACAAAATACATAGTTAACTTAATTAGTTAACTAAATTACCATACACTCTCGCACTCTTCTGTAGACAACTAATTAGGTTATCCTACTGTAATTTGCAAAAAACCAGTTATAAAGTACAGGCACTTGCACAAGCACTTTACACACTTTTATCCTGTTTTGTATTTAATGAGTTCCAGCAATTTATTTAGCTAACCAGGAATACACTTCTTCATGTACACTTTGAAAAGACTTGGATTTTACCTTATGTGGTTTATTCCTGACACAACAGTTTCATTGTAGGATTTGTTTTTGTCTTCACTTCTTGCACAGAAGACATGATCTGAATTAAAAATTGATTTGTGATGATATTTCATGCTTTGTTTTCAAGAAAAAAAAACTTGACATTATGTTTTAGGAGACGACACATCAAGATTCGTGAAGCAGATTCATGGTAAAAATGAGTGGTGTTATGCTTGGCAGATTCCAATAGTTTTACATGTGAATTTACGTTGATAATACCAACAAATAACGATTTTTAGTTTGGGGTGCATTGTTTTATTAGAACTGTAGAAAAGTCTAACCAGCTTTGGGAACATGATTTCTGCTATTCTTTGAAAGAGAGGTTTTATTTATTGTATGTTGATTTGAGCATTCTACTTATTCTAATGGGTAACTCAAAATTGTATCAATTCAATATGCAAATGTAGACATTTAACCATCAAGAAGTATGTTAAAACCCATTAAACCTATTTTTATTTGGTTTCATCAGCTAATTTATTTATAACAAATAATCCTGCTGAATAGTGATATGGTATTTATTAACATGTACATGTAGCTTTCAGTAACCCTGTTATATGGATACACATGTACATATGTGAATTACATCTTCAGAGCAATCCTCTGAAGCCTACAGTTATACAGCTGACTTGAACCCTAGATAGTTTCAAGCTCATTGATACTTCTCTTATATGATTTTTTGTCGATATAAAATTAAATAAGCATGGTTGTAAAAGCTACTACGGAAAAAGCTAGTTAAACTGTATGCCTGTCAAGTAACTTATGACATCTTTAGATTTGAATTTCAGTTAAAAGCAGCCTTGAAGCACTATTTTAAATTATATTGTCATATTTTCCTAAATTTTTTAAATCTTTTACATTCTTATTTCCAGGAGCATGGATTCTGATGTTTTTCAACCGAACCCTGCAGACACTCCCCCAGTGAGCACATCTAGTCGCAATAGTACCCCTGATGCAAAACAGTTCATCCGCCCCCAGCCTGAGAAGCCACGCCGTATCAGCACTGGGAGCATGAAGATAGAGGTCACTGGTGCTGAAGAAAAAACCGCAAGGTGATAAAGGAGGAAAATCTAAATTGCTGGGGAGCATCCTTGATGCAGCAGTTTATATTGATGGATACTTTTATGGATGCTGTATTTAGATAAATGAGAGAAAAAGTTTGCAGTCTTGAAAGGAAATCCTGTATATGCAGACTGAAACTTGAATGCATGATGAAACATCAGTGTGTTTGAAAAAGAATCAAGCTAAAAATATTTCTGCACGATTTAATAAGAATTATGATTTTTACAATAATAACATATTTGCTTGTGAAAAAAAGCTTAGCTCTAATGAGCAAAAATTTTATTTATTCAAATTTTTTTCTAATTTCCTAGAAGAGAAGGAAGACTCTTCCACGGACAGTGAGAAAGGCAGTACCCCCACCAGCACAGAGGTGACAGGACTTCTGTTTCCTCCCAAGAGAAAACTGGCTCCCATAGCCTCCTGTGAGACCTTGTCTGATTTTCCTGGTGCCCTGTCTCCAGTGTCACCCACTTCAATGACACGACTAAGGCTAGGACATTTCCCAGGAGAGTCATCATCAGACAGTTACACACTGCAGGTCCCTACTGATCCCAACCTGTCGCAGTCCTCAGATACATTAACAGGAGGACTAGACAATGTCTCTTCATGGTCTCATAGTACAAACTCGGGGACTCTGACCCCAGGTTCTAATGGGGACTCGCTCTCTGACAGCCCAACTAAACTAGGCTATAGTGCCTTTACCCCCATACCACAGAGAACTCCTAATAGGATTGTGTCCATAAGCATTCCGGAAAGTTTCCGAATTAGTCGTTCAGACCAGAAGAGAAGGAAAAAGAAAAGGAGAAGGAGACTGGAGAAAAGATAGAGCAGCAACGTTCTCCTAGTGCAAGCCCTAAAATGGGTCGAAAACCATCCCCAGTTCGCAGTTCATCACCACTGTCAATTCCTCTTGCAACCATAGCAGCAGTGCTGCGTAGACCAACTTCTCCATTGAATGTACCACAAGCCAGTCCAAAATTGAGGCGATCCTCCTCCCCAGTCACTGGGGCATCCCCGCAGGCTACGTCTCCAGTTGCTAGCCCTAAATTGAAGAGAGCATCATCCCCCATCATCTATAGTTTCTCTTCCCCTAGTATTATATCTCCCCAAAAGCCAAAAGGTATGGTAATAAAAGAAAAATTATTCTGCATTTCATGTTATGCAGATTTGTATGCAACTCTAGATGAATATTTGTCTTTTCTCTTTGGAATGGGACATTTCTTTCATCCAAAAGATATCTAATATATATAAAGCAACACCCTTATTTTTCTGACATGATTAAAGAAAAAACATTAACATTCTGGTCTGATTAAGGGATGTTGAAGATTGGCTGATTCTTCTCACTTAGAACACTTTAATTGTGGCAGTGTAAATGTGTATGATATTATATATGCTGCAAGCCAAATTAAGGTGAGATGTCCTTATTTGTGTATTATAAGAAAAGGCTGAATGTTGGATGGTTATCATTTTTGATTTCATAGTTTTGTTGTTTGCAGCCAAGCTGGGCAGTGTGGACTCCACCCAGTCTGACAGTGGCGTGTGTCTGACCTCACCTCGCCACAGCTTGGTGACAATGGAGGGGTCCCCACCCTCGGCCAAGGCCGGCGCTGTTATCACCTCCTCCAGGCCTTCCAAGCGAAGGTACAGAGCCTGCTGGTAATGTCATGTGCTTTTGTCTTGTATCTCTATGGAAACAAGCTTCATTCTGAACTTTGGGGAAGTGCCAGGATGCTTTAGCATGTGCTTTTCTTGGTGGTCTGTTATAGTACTACTATTACGATAACAATTGCTGTGTGGTGCTATACTTGTGATTCAGGTTGTTTGAGCCTTCTTATTTGCATGGCTGTATGAAGTGGACTATATCACAAGTGCCCATCTATCTTGGGCTCCAAAAGCTTTTCAAACTATAGCTCCTGGTGGGGATTATATTATATGTAGAAGCATCACTTTCAGAAGTTGTGAGATATAATATTCTGGCACTTTCTCTGGTAACCTCCCAGGAAAGATAAGGTTGTGTTTACAGATGTTTTATCATTTAATTAATCTTTGATATCTGTATTAGTATTGGAGTGAATGTGTTATATGGGCTGCAATAGTATTTCTGAATCATTAAAAGATAACATAATTCCTGTTAATATCAATGATGTAGTAATTTACATTTTGTGCATCATACACATTTGCCTGAGATGAAGTAACAAAAACTGTATTCATTTTATTGTCCTGTTTAATATGTAGCTTTACTATTCTTCACTGTTGTAGATTTGTATAAAAGATATATACGTTGAAACATGTTTCTTCAGGGGTTTGCTTATTGGTGATGGAAATTTATATATATATAACTAGCTGTTAGCATGAACAGGGTTTTGTCAGGGTTGTCAACTCTACATATTTACATGAACACTGCAGGTTATGGATTTTTGACTCTCTAGGTTTCTAATAAAATGATAAACAATAATCTGTGTAAATTGATAACTATGTTGTTGGCAACTCTGCAGATTTTCTTCTTCAAATTCACAACTTGTGTTTGATTTTTATTTTCATTGTACGAAGGCAGTACCAGTTTGAAATCCTTTCTTTGCTGTGTATTTTGCTTTTGTACTAGCCATGTCTCATGTCATAAATTTATAAAATCACTTCTTAGTAAGTAGCAATTCAGTTGCTTTGACAAATACATTATTTATTAAATGTTTTAAGTTTTAGAATAGATATTAAAGCACAGTATTCTTTTACTAAACAGTTACCTTTTCAAATTTATTTTAATTCAAGACTGTAAATGAAAGTCATATTTAGTATTATGCAGGTCTACATTATATAAAATAGGTCTAGTTCATCAGCTGCCACCACTGCATTTGCGGCAGCCACAGCAGGAGTGGCTAACACAAACTCTGAGAATCAGAACCACCACCCCAAGGGCATTAATAGGTACCACAGTGCAGGTAAGCTAGCAGTATTTGCTTAAGGTCATACTTTTGTTATGAAATGCTGTAGGTATCAGGTATGTATATGTTCACTGTCATCTGCTGAAAAATTGGGATTTTTTTAGCAATTATCTCATCCAATTCGTTATGTCTGTAAAATGTATGTGAACATAGGTATTCTAATATATTGGATAGAAGAAAATATTTGATGTATTTTATGTCAGAGTTTGGTCTGGTGAATCTCAAACTGCTGTGAAGAATTCTAGATTGAAATTGATGGAGAAAAAATTGAAGTGAACTCCTGGCTGTTATACCCTGGTATGCCTTTTAAAGACATGTTTACGTGTATCAAGAATAATATTTACCCATGAGAACCTCTCTCATTGTTCACAGTAAACAGGGACCCTATGGAACATAAATGTGGAGGTGTATTTACCAACAAATTGGTTGTTTTGTGTACTGGTCTATGAAAACTTTGGATAAAGAAATGGCATGAGTGATGTGCCCTTTCTTGACACTGCAGTGTGTTTAGACACAGACTTCAGCTGGACTGAGAGTTAAAGCCATCCAAGTAATTTACAAGTAATTTAGTAGAGGTGCTTTAAGATTTCATTTATTTTAAAATGGCTTATGCAGAAAGACACATAACATCTTCTGCCACACAGCCACAATACATTGTGATTAAAACATAGAAGCACTGCCTTGGACTGTGAAATCGAAGGTGAAGTGATTTGGTTTTCTGATGTTTTGGTCCCAAACTGTCAGAATAAAAAGTCTTAAGTCTGTGTCTTAAAACCTTATTAAAACAATCCTGTTTGAACACACATTGATAATTATAGTGTATTCAATTTGTTGCAAGTTCAGAACAAAGTAATGCTCTGTTTTATTGTGTTATATATTGTCAACTTTACCTGCATGCATGTCATGTGACATGATAGTATGTGAGTTCTTTGCATACAATGCCACTGTTCTTTACGGCCATGTCTGGTAAATCTATGCTGGTATATGTATTTTCACTTCACATTCTTTATGCTACAAATTTGCTGCTGCTACCAGTACTTAGGCTTAAACAATGTGTTCTCATAGACTGATTTAACTTAGAACTATCCAGCAGTTTTATTAAAAATTGTTTTATCTCATATTTCTGGCAGCATCATATGTAATGAAATAGAACATCTGTCTTGATTTAATTTTACCCAGAGTCTTACCATGTTGAGCAGAATCTGCCTCTCTTCTAATCTACAAGCCTACTGAAAACTTTACTCTCTATTTAGTGTTGTCCTCAGATTAAGGAAAGAGGGGTTTTTTAAAAGTCAAAACCAGGTTTAGGAGTCAAATTAATATATCATTAAAATACATTTTAATATTTTCAAAACGTGGTATAAAATGCCTAATGTCTACTTCACCTTGGACATTTAAAGCACAGTTTTCCAAATAGTTCAATTTTGACTTGGAATGAATGTAGGATTAGTTAACCTTCTATTGAAACTTGAAAGAATGAGCCTTTTTTCATAATCTTGAATTTAGATGATTTTAAGGCCCATAAATTTAGAATATTTTAACTGTAGTGGCATGTCTAAGTCACATTATGCTAATCAATCACATAAGTCATCTTATTTTGATACCAAAAATTGTCTTTACATCAGTGTGGCTGCATTTAACATTCCGTATTTCAAGGCTTTATTCCAGTGATTTGCTGTGACTGATAACTGGCAAGAGAACACTACTCCACGCAAAATCTGTGTCCTTTTGACAGAAATCTTGGCTCAAATTTTGCATAGTATTTTCCCACCTAAAAAGCAGCCTATTCTTCCAATTTTTATTCTCTTCTTTATCCCATTTGTGTCCTGTATGTGACCTTCCTAGTATGAGTATGTTGCTTATTCCCTATACTAGTGTGGGCCAATGGGATCCCTGGTATGAGCCCAGCACACCCAACCAGAAGGATGAACAGATATCACAGTTTCACTGGTGAGTCAGCCATGTGACCAGCTGCTTTATCATGTGACTCGATGGGCTTTGCTTGATGTGATGAAATCTTCCCTGTGTGCTTTTGATGGAGTTCTTGTTTTGAATTGTTTTCAGATACTTTTCTTTCTTATTTGCTCATTATTGATAGGAATTTTCAGGCAAATTGTTTGTTTCTTTTGACATTACAATTATTGTATACATGTAGCTGTTTACATAGACTGTATACAATATACATTACAGTCAGCAATTATTTTTTAGTTCTAATGCTATTAATTTACTGCATTATTGTTAGAGTTTTTACCATTGAATAATCATATTAGCAAACCAGACTGTTTGTCCTTTAACATATCTGTCCATTTTCTGTGTAGTTGTGAGGGGAAATTCTGTACTATTCTATTCTGCTGTATATGCATATGAAAATTGTTTTGAGATACTACAGTTAATATATTTTTAAAAAATTAATAAACACATGTTGATAAGGGTGGTTTGGTTGTATTTGATGGAATATAGTAGCTGTAAGTGTTTTATTACTTTATTGTTTGCTATCTATTCTGTGATAAATTGAAAGAATATTATTTGTAGAGATTTGCTTACTAATGTGGAGTCCAAATAATTTCTTACTTGAATTGAACTGCCAGCTGTCTGTGTTGGTCGTTGTTGCCTATATAGAAATAATACTTATTTGTTATCTAGTCATTCATGTGGGTGGTTTACAGATGGTCATATCTTGGATTTATTTTATTTCCTATTCTTATATGATCCTTTCATATTTGTGCTTCTGTTTGATATCTCAAAAAATAGTTAAGTTGTATTCATAACAGACATGCACAATTTCATCCTGTCAGTTTAATAAGTATGTTTATAAAGTCTTTTTTTTTTTTTTGGGGGGGGGGGGGGGGGTGGTGAAATAACAAAACATAATTATAATGAATCTTTCTTATTTCACAAGACATGGGTTTTACTTAATCTTTGACTTGTTGATTTACAGGTGTAGAGGCACATGGATGATGTTTCATTTTGTATGTTTTAGAGAGCTTACCATTGAAGCTGTTTCTTTTATGTTGATAAATGCTGCTTTTTATTCCAATAGAGAAAATGTATTGTAGGAAGCTCCTGATGGTAAAAACAAGATGAGCTATGTAGATTATAACATACTGTCCTGATTACAATGGGTTGGCATTTGTAAATCTTCTCTTTTGTTCCTGGGCACTAAATTGACATCAGTGCTCTCTCTTTGTATCTTATGTGCTGCTGAAAGCATCTAGGTTTGTCTCTGACCTGTTGACACCAGTTGATGCCAAAACTATCTCCCAAACTCTTCATTTGAAAGATTCTGTTCCCCTAATTTTATTATTTTGTAGTAAATTCATGTTTATTTTTCAGTGTAATCCAAAATAATCCAAAATAAAAAGACCACATTGGAATTATAGAAATAAGGTTTAACCCACTTACCACAGCTTTTTTTCCATTTCCCACAAAATTGTGGGACTGCAATAAGCATTTGCATCATACACTGTGAAAAAAATTAAGAGATACCTTTGTTTAAACAAAGCCCTGCTTAGTAGCTATGTATTATCTTATCATGGGTATTTCAAACAAAATAATCCAAAATATCGTATCCTATCCCTTTTCTTGTGTGTCTTATTATGGAAAAAATACCCCTGCAGTAAATGTTCTCAGAAACTAAATAGATGCTAACAAGAGGTACATGTACAAGGAAGACCCAGCTTTTACATACAAAATTGGGCATTGCGTATGTTCCTTTCCTTTGCCTTAATAATGTGTACATTGCTGATGGTAATCAAGCCAGTATCAAAGCTGCAATATACTGTATTTAAAGGTAATATGACTAAAGGTGCAGAAAGTTGCTTGTAGTATAAAGTATGTTACTGTGCAGGTGGCAAAATTGATTGCAATGCTGACTAGTTTGAGGCAGATTTGGACCTTTCAGCCTTGGGTAACTAAAATTATCTGATGGTGTTTTTATATATTGTTCCTCCAGGAGCCGGTGACCTTAAACCATATAATGTGAACAAGAAGAGGGAGTCTGTCATAAGCACGGCAGCAACCATGAGAGTACTTAATGTACTGAGACACTGGGTCTCAAAACATTCTCAGGTAAAACCCCTGCTACCTCACTCTCTTCAGGCTCATTCTGTTGCTATTGCCTATAATACTATATACATGTAGCATTTTGTATGATTACATTATTTAAATCTAGGGAGTTTATCTAACCCATTTAATGTTTCTTCCTCTGTCACTGTAATGGAATTAAGTCATGTGCCCAGTGGTTTGGTTTTTAGAAATCTCAAGGGCATGATCTGCTGAAATATTAGTATTATGGTAATAAGTATAGTCTTACTATAAATGCTCCTTAAATCTATCTGTTAAGACATCCAGGTTAAGATCTTAGCTCTCCAAATACATACATTTTTTATAGATTGCTAATGCTCACCTTAGTCATCTGCCAAATAATGTGCCGGACTTAATGTTGTTCTCCCTACAGTACTGCATTTATGCATTTTTTTTTTAATTAAAGTTAATTTTTTTGCATTAAAAAATTTCATCTTGTCTATATTCATGATTATAGGAAAACTTTCTTTATTATATATAATTTTGATACAATCTGTATCCCTATCTTGCAATTTTAGGACTTTGAAACAGACCCTAAGCTGAAAGCAGAAGTGAAGGATCTCCTGGAAGAGATGGTGTGTAACACTAACCTCCTCCCAGCTGAGCACAAGGCAGCAGCTAGTATTTTGCGTACAATGGCCAAGGAGGAGTCAGCTAACACATACAGGGTAGACCTGGTGGCTGTGCTGTCTCCACCACTGGTAAGAGTCAGGGACCAGGGGAGCTATGGATGTTTTATCACTTGAAATCATCATTGGGTGCCATCCACTCACTTGAAATAGAATCAACTAAAGCTAGTAAAAAAACAGATGACAAAGACATACAAAATCAGTCTTAGACATTTTTGAATGCCATCACTCTAAAATATGGGAAAATAGTGTATTTTAGCATGAATATTGATAGATTGATAATTAATGATGTTTATAATTATTAGAATATATCAGGTTATTCTTTATGCAAGTAAAGGGCACACATAGACATTCATGCAGTTTTAACTGCATTTTTGAAGTTCTGCTATTGAATGTTTTCCGTGTAGAAACCCTCCAAGGACACATTTGACACCCTGTCTGCCTTGGACATAGCTGAGCAGCTGACATACCTGGACCACCACATCTTCATGGCTATAAGGAGCGAGTAAGTCAGGCTATTGAAACACAGACATTATGCATAGTGAGGCTAAGATATTTTAATCAGAATAGATGGAATTTGAAGATGAAGAAATAAAGTCACAAGTTAGTTTGGGAGGAAGAGTCCAATAAAGGGGATCCAGTAGGAACCTGAATCGGAAATCAACGCTAATATAAGTAATGCTAAGTAAGTAAGTAAGTAAATAAAAATAGTGCCTCTGAAAACATTATAATACTTTTTTTAATTTTATTTTATTTTGAATATGTAGGGAATTACTATGTCAAGCCTGGATGAAGCCAGACAAGGCAGAGAAGGCTCCCCATGTTCTCATGGTCAGCAAGAGATTCAACGAGGTATCTTGAATGAACCATAGATATATTTTATATTCTCACATGGATTTTTTTTTTTTTTTTTTTGCTGTTGTTTTGTTTCAGTTCAAAATTTGGTGTTCAAAGAGATACTAATCATCTTACTACTTCTTTTAAACTATTTCAAGAATTGATCCTCAAAGTAGCAATATCTTGATTTGTTTTATTTCTGTAAACATTGTTTTCACTGCATTCTAAAAGGAAACATTTTTCTTTTAGGTCAGCAGATTGGTTGTTTCAGAGATTGTCCGCCGGCCAAATTTTCAGGAGCGCATTGCTTGCATCGAGAAATGGGCAGCTATTGCTGACATATGTCGCTGTCTGCACAATTACAACGGTGTGTTACAAATATGTGCTGCATTTGTCAATAGCTCAGTTTATAGGCTGAAGAAAACATGGGATAAATTATCTAAACAGGTATGGAATATGCTGTCAGTTTGATAGTGTTGCCAAATTTGTTCTGTTAATTATGTGCAATAATTTTACTTTGACACGTTCAGTATTTCTTGATGAAAGAGATATTTCTTATTTTTAAGCACACACATATATGATTTTTTTTTTTAATAAATATTAAAAATGAGCAAGAATTGTATTGACTAACAGCTACATCTTACCATTTTTAGAGAGCTTTTTAAACTGAAACTATTTTCCAATAACCACAACTCAGACATATTCTAAAGTAACTTTCCTTCAAAGTCTAGTGAAATTCACATCTATTTCAGACCAAGCAGATGATAGAAAAGCTCCAGCAGTTGGTCTCATCTGATGGCAGGTTTAAGAATATGCGGGATGCCCTCCACAGGTACATACACAATACTTTCTTAACAGTGGGCGTACTTTATTGCTAAGGCATGACTTAATTTTTGCACACTTAAGTGCCCAACTAGTTCTGCATTTAATTCAAACCTAGAAGAATTGTATTTCTAAAGAAGATGAGACATACTGTTTTTTTTGTTTGAAATCATGAAGCTTCAATGAATCCTTGATAGGCTTTTTACTAAGCCATATGTTCAGTCTTTATGGGGAATTATGATAAATTGGCACAATTTCATTGAAGTAATTTCAAGGGTTATTACTGTTACAGTAGCTTAATAGCTGCCCAGTTTCAGATATTAGTTGAAATGTCAAAATAAAGGTTTATAATTTTTCTGGCATATAAAGACAGTTTTTTATCTTCTCATAATTTGACAAAATTCAGTAAAACCATTTGATATTATGATTGAAGTTTTTTAGAGATTTCACTATAGTAATGAATATAAATGATCTTTCATTACTTTCAGTTTTTTTTTTCCCAATAGTTTTATCGTGAACTTGAAATGTTAAAATTTCAGCTTACCAATGGAATGGTTGAAAGTGACTACAACTTTCGTCTTCCTTATGAACTGTCTTCCAAATACTTGTACATACCATAAGTTCTACAGTTTGTTTTGTGACATTTGTAGTTGCAGTGTCTTTGTGCATGTAGTGAAATGGGCAGTAGGGATGCAGTTTATGCAAAATATAAGTTCTTATTAGATGAGTGCATTTGTATTGCTGTCCCTCATGACAATATATACATTTCAAAGTAAAAAAAAAATGGTGGACAATTTTGTGTCTGAGAAAGTAATAGTTTCTAAAGAAAAAATATTTAAAGATAAACTTTAAAGATAAACTACAGACAATGAAAACCAAAACTTTAAAGATAAACTACATACAGACAATGAAAACCCTATTTTATGTATGTATTTATCTAACAGGATAACTATTATCAACCAAAAGTATATGTTATTTACATGATATGTTCTTGAATTTCAACAGCAACTTCCACTTAGGGATATATTACCTTTTTGTTTTTTATGTGAAAATGAAATTTTTGTGTGTCTTTTGTGACTCCCTTGTATGCTGTGAATTAGATATTTACATTTATATTGCCTACTAGTAGTTGTGTGTATAATTTGTCCAACTGATTTATCAAATTTCAAGAAGACTGTTTGCCATTGTTGTAGAAAAACTTAGATCCAGATTTAATTGCTAATAACATTTTCCTTGACAGACATACTTATTCTCAAAAATATTCAATTTAATGTGCAGGTGCTTCAATTTACCCCTAAATTGTTCCTTGGAAATTCATTATGGCTAGTCCATGTTATGGCAAAAACTTAGTGTATAGACCTTGGCCAGGCTAGTAGTTAGAAAGAGTGAAGTGTGAAAAGATAAAAAAGCTTGAAATATGTTGATTTTACTGCATTTTATATTCAGGTTTTACACAGTTTGTGCAGTAGGCAGATATTTAGCTTGAATGCACTAAGCCTTGAGGAGATACATGTATTGTGCAATCATATAAATGAAAGAAGTAGCCTTTAGAAGTAGATTATGCACTTTTAGTAATATATAAGACTTGTTTACATCTTTACATAAATTTATTTTAAAGTTACATTTTAATTTAATTTCCGTTATATCTTTAAATGGTAAGATACTTGAGCATAAGATGCAAGCAAGTCCAGAAATTTGAAAATAATTTTAGTGAGTTTTAAAGGAAGATGTCAGACCGACTAGTTTTTGATACTTTTGACAGTTTGAGTGAAATAGAATTTGGTTAAATCTTCTTGGTTACTGTTTTTGCAATTGCTTAATCAAAATTTTCCTGTAATAACTGAAAAAAAAATTCAGTATAGTCATTTATAAGATGAAAAGGTACATGTTATAAATCAGCTATGTTTGCATTTCCTTTAATAGTCACATTCTACATTTTGATGATTATGATCTTTCAACTAATCCAATATTTTCTCCATTTTTCTCTCCATTCCTTTGCACTGCACACGATAATCAGATGTGATCCGCCATGCATTCCTTATTTGGGCATGTATCTTACTGATCTCTCTTTCATCGAGGAAGGCACACCCAATGTCACAGAAGAAGGACTAGTCAACTTTTCCAAAATGAGAATGGTAGTGTAGATGTATCTTGAAGTGTATTCAGGCATAGATGGAAACTTGTGGCCATGGTGTCATCATCAGATAGCCAAATTAAATCATCAGTAATTGAACTGACTGGATCCAGATGGAACCATCTCTGCACATTTCCTCTCTGCTGGCTTTGTCTTTTTATAATAAGTTGGGTTAATGTGCACAGTAACCTCAATGCTTTCTGAAGCATTCTTGAATCATTTTCATAATTTTGTTGTCTGGGGATGACATCTCGGTCACAAAATTTGCACACTTAAGATCCATGTCTGGATACAACCTGAATGTTGTAGTGTATGTTTTGTAGTGGTGAGAGTCTTTTTTTTTCTGTCTGACTGATGTCAGCACCAAAATAAATTATTTTCCCTCCTTAGAAACCTGGTATAAACAACCTTTGCAGTTTTGCCACATAGTTAATGATATGATGTTACTATAACCTTTATACAGTGTGTAGTCAGGTAGGAGTAAGTTGCTGGAAGCAGAAAACATTTTTGATTACTTACAAATTTCTTTTTAATATTTAAGTGTATGGAAAAGTTAATACTCAGAGATTATTTTACAACGTTTGAGGCTATTATGATAATATTGTTTCATCCAAATTCACATTTATTCACTAAATTGCCCTGTAAGGATTAAATCTAAAAGAATTTTTAAAAATTTCATTTAGTTTATATCCAAAGTAAATTAGCAATGCATTTAGTCATTGGTATTTTGTTTTAGGGATACTGTTAGTATCAAAAGTTCAGTATTGGATTTGCCTTTGGTCTTGTATTGAACAGCTAAAAATCAGATATGAAAATCCAAAGTCTGAATATCACATAAAATATTTATTCATTAATCACTAGCATTGCAGTGGAATGCCCTCTCTTTTATGACCTTATTGAACATGTTGCAATTAAGTCAGGATCTCACCATAGCCTTTTTGTGTTACCCAACAAGTGACACCTCCATACACAATGGTCTCTCCATGATCAGTTTTCTTCCAAAATATTTTCTTATTACTCACAGTCATGCATAGGTTGTAAGAGGTTAATCAATATTACTGCATATTTAAATATGTTTATTTTGTAACATTGGATATAAGATATACACGTGATTTAACGAGACTGCTGTGTTACAGTTAGCCACATTTAGCCTATGACGTTTGTATGAACTTTAATTATCATTCATTGTAGCAAAAAGCAATACTTATTGACTGAAGAAATCAAGTTTTGGTCTGATTATGGGAATATTTTATTGATTACTTAAAACAATGTCCAGAAAATTTGGCAAGTTTTTTCTACATTACATTCTTTCTCTTTTATTTTTGAAATGTGTCAGAACTATCCACTTACATGAAATCCAAGAAGCAGCTTCACAGAATTAATGAAAGAACAATTTAACGAATGGTTGATTTACCCCAGTATTTTTTCATCGTGTAACATTATACAGGATGGTTCTGTTGTCTCTAAAAGTGGAACTGGGTAAAACTTTATTTCGTCATCCAGTAAATGAATCGTGAACAGTTAACATCATGAGACACAAAGTGATTCCTGATAGATTTTTTTTATAGATTATGCATGAAACACTGTATTAGTTTTTTAATCAGGCCGCTAAATTTACCACTGTCCATGACTGGTGCTGATGATTTAATTGGATAGGCTATTGCTTTCATATTTCTGTTACCCTGACATTTGTATTGTTGGTTAGAGTTTATTTGATATGTACATGCATGATAGTTAGTGGTAGTGTCTGCATGCACAGTTGGTCTGGGCCACAGGGATATGGTGTGGTGCATGTTAGCAATGAGTTTCTATCACTTGATGCATTGAAAATGCATGCCTTTCTTTTCACAACAAAGTCACTGAATGCCCTAATGCAATGTATTTATATGAATGGAATCATTTTTCTGTTTCCTAACTGTAAGTCTATATATAAATGATGAACCTTTCAGATCTTGTCTCTAGTTCTGGTCCAGTCGTTGTAATTATAATGTATTGATATGTATTAAATATTTTATGAAGTGTTTTTAAGTATGTGCAGTCAGTATCATATGTCTGTTAACATGTTTTATGTGTAGAAGTTATGCTCTTTTGCATGATGTGCTAAATGTATTGTAGCTGGGGACACGACTGCTTTTTGTGTCAGGTCTTGTGTGCATTTTGGTTTAGGATTTATTCTTGTCAAAACAAAATGGTTTATGTTGTGTGCGGTTTCATTATTAATCGAATTGGGTTTCTACTTAGTTCATATTGTGCCGTATATTTTTTCCATAGAATTAGTGGCCCTGCTTTGAATTCTTGTATTATATTTCATAGTATTTTATTTATTTGTTTTAAATATATATTTTGTTTTGGGAGGCAGATTGTTATTATTATTATTATTATTATTATTATTATTATTATTATTATTATTATTATTATTTTGCTAGTTAACTATTTTGAAATTGAAGAATCTTTTCAACAGCTCATTTTCTTCATGCAAAAAAAAAAATTCTTCCCCAATTAATGCAAGAAACTCTGTAACAAAATATTGTGTTGAGGATGATAGTGCAATATAATTCCCAGTTTAGAGCATATTATATATATAACGCTTGGATTTGGTGCAATTATGAAGACTTTTAGCCCCCCCCCCCCCCTCCTTTTTTGGTCAATTCTTAACTGCAGAGTAGGTAGCAAATTACCTAAAATTATTTCTAAATGAATCTTTAACAGTAATGATATTATTCTTACTTAAAAGAAAATTTTAATATTTGTATTCAAGATAAAATGCTCTAAACTCTAAATTTTATCTGCTTTAATAAAACAAAAGACCCTTTTTTTGCCTAGTCATCTTTTCACATAGAGAAATAACAATACATGCATGATGACAGCAAGCTTGATTCTACATATAAACTGGGCATTATTACAGTGAAGTGCTAGTGTTCCAGATTTTTTGTAGCACACTGAAAGAGCCATTACTGTAGACATCAAGACACTTGTGACAAAATTTGTTAAGAATTTTTTCTTTTTTTCCTCTTTGTTAGGTTGCTCATGTAATACGTGAGATCCAGGTGTTCCAACAGACCTCATATAAGATAGATCTCCAAACTAAGGTAATTTTGTGGATTTTTGTAAATTTCTTTGTTTTTTAATACATTTCTAAACTTATTGATGATCAGTAATATGACATAGTTATTGGCAAATAAATGAAAACTTAAATCATATTTTATATCTTATAGAAATAAGGTGTGTTTTACAAATTAATATTTCTTATAAAACTTTAAATGGCAAGACCCTGACCATATGGGGGGTGGGGAATATGAAGAGAGAAAGGGAGAGGGTAACATATCCCAAATCACACCCCTCACCTCCTTTTATTGTGCCATTTAAATATTCATCAGTTATTTTCTACCCAAGGTGACTGCCTACTTACTGGACCCAACCAGACTGCTTGATGAAGAAGAAACCTACAAAGCATCACTGGAAATTGAACCACGAACCTCCAGGCTTTCCATAAATGCAGCTGAGGGAAAATAAGCAGTTGACCATGTGCATTTGCTTCACAGTTATTCACAATTACATGTTATATGTATTTCTTGCCTTCATTTTTGGAAGCTGCAAGTTAAGAAGGAAAGCATTTGAGGATGCCACATGGTTTTGGATGCAAGTTTACTTATTTTGCAAATGGTATATTAGATGACCTTGTCTATAACCGTGTGGTCTTTCAAACAAAATTTGTTAAAATTATATATACAAACAGGCACTCACTAGTCCAGGTGAGGTCACATGTTTGGTCATTCAGTCACAAAAGCAGGACTTATGAAAGAAAGTGATAGATGACCAAAAAACTGTCAAATATATTTGGCATCTTGAGATATCATCATAGTTGACATAAAATGTAAAGATAAGCAAAACGTACTGGTAAGTATTACATTTCAAATGGACAATAATGAGTTATCAAATATGATACTATTTCACAGTACTTATTTATATGTGGGAATGTAGATTAACATAATGTGTCACTGGGTTCTTAGTGGAGAATGGAAATGACATAGTAAGTCACAAAACTTAACAGTTTAGAAGTCCTGCATATGGTGTGTAATATAATGGATGGTGATGAAAATTGTATTATTTCATCTTTAACAGTCTCGAATCCATCATGAACACTTTATGATTATATGGGGTACCATTTAAATGCGTGTGTAACATTAAAGGGCCTCTTTACCTATGCTAAAGGGGTCATGTTTTTGTTATTGTTTGCAATGTCATTATTATAGAAATGAATCGTACAAGCCGCAGGAATATACCTATAGCTATGATGTTAACGATGTGTATCGTGAACTTTTTTGATTGTTTGCAGTTCTGTTGTGTGGTTTCACGGCCTTCCTTTTTTTTCATTCCCAAACATCCTACACCAGTAATGTATTTTTAAATTGTATTTGTGATATGCTTAAGAATTGTGAAAGGTGTTAAAGACTATGGTAATACAGAAAAAAGCTAAATTGATAAGTTCAGTTTTCCATTCCATGTGTGTACAATGTAGCTTGAGAAACAATTTCAAATATGGATGAATATGCCATTGGTTTTATCCATTTATGAAGGTACTTTGGTGCCTCCTTACTGTGGTTACTAGGCTATAGTGATGTAAAAAAAAAAAGCCTGGATCACTGTCTTGTCTTGGGTAACTTGAGCTGGGAAGGACATCAATTTGTTGTATTTGTGCACACAATGATTTCAGTGGTCATATCTTTGAAATTACCAGGCATATCATAGGAGCAAGTGGAAAGCATGTGAAAGTGCTATTTTGAAGTGAAATGGCCATAGAGTAGCAAGCAAAGGGAAGAACATTAAAAATTTGTATCATTTACTGATAACATGAAATAATTGTACACAGAAAAAAAATGAAAAAAATTGAAATGGATGACCTGGTATGTTTTATGCACTGGGTACCATGCACAAGTTAATAGTATTTTTTTCTTTTGGAACATACACCAGTCTGTGTCAGTTGTTGTTTTTTAGAATATGTCTAATGTATTATTATTATTATTATTGTAAATTATTTCATTGTATTTATTTTTGAAAGTATCTTTGCAATATGACATCACATTCTTAGCGTACAAATGGCAGAATGTTCAAAAGTGCAATCTTAAACCTCTTGCACAAATGTTTTTTGCTTGAATTTTTATTTAGTCAAATATTCAGCATTGTTGTCAACTTTTACATTTTACATTCATTTTAGTACAGTTTTATCTGTTCACTCACTCAGTGGTACATGTTAAAATACTGACATTTTGCAGATATAATTTTTTCTGGCCATAAAATTGTTCTTGTACAGTTTTTTGCTTGGTGCTGTGCATCTTTCTATATGAAAATATTATATGAATTTACATAGAAAATATTATAAATACACATATATGTGCAATATACATTTTATATTTAGGAGATGTGGCTGGCTCCAACGCAAACAAAACACATTTTGTGTGAATGTATATGTTAATGAAAAAATCTATTGATATAATTGATGTTTTGTCTCTGCAGTTGCAGTGAAATACTCGAGGTGTTTTTGAATTGTGACATATCGTTTTAGCTTAATAGTTACCACATTTTTTCCATTTTCAAAGATTGTAGAAATTATACATACATTCATATATATATATATATATATATATATATATATATATATATATATATATATATATATATTTTTTTTGTNTTGTACACAGAAAAAAAATGAAAAAAATTGAAATGGATGACCTGGTATGTTTTATGCACTGGGTACCATGCACAAGTTAATAGTATTTTTTTCTTTTGGAACATACACCAGTCTGTGTCAGTTGTTGTTTTTTTAGAATATGTCTAATGTATTATTATTATTATTATTGTAAATTATTTCATTGTATTTATTTTTGAAAGTATCTTTGCAATATGACATCACATTCTTAGCGTACAAATGGCAGAATGTTCAAAAGTGCAATCTTAAACCTCTTGCACAAATGTTTTTTGCTTGAATTTTTATTTAGTCAAATATTCAGCATTGTTGTCAACTTTTACATTTTACATTCATTTTAGTACAGTTTTATCTGTTCACTCACTCAGTGGTACATGTTAAAATACTGACATTTTGCAGATATAATTTTTTCTGGCCATAAAATTGTTCTTGTACAGTTTTTTGCTTGGTGCTGTGCATCTTTCTATATGAAAATATTATATGAATATACATAGAAAATATTATAAATACACATATATGTGCAATATACATTTTATATTTAGGAGATGTGGCTGGCTCCAACGCAAACAAAACACATTTTGTGTGAATGTATATGTTAATGAAAAAATCTATTGATATAATTGATGTTTTGTCTCTGCAGTTGCAGTGAAATACTCGAGGTGTTTTTGAATTGTGACATCGTTTTAGCTTGATAGTTACCACATTTTTTCCATTTTCAAAGATTGTAGAAAATATACATACATTCAAATATATATATATATATATATATATATATATATATATATATATATATATATATATTACACTTGGTTAAATTAGTAGAGGGTTTTCATTCATTGAATCAATTACCCCCCAAAAATGCAATTTTCAATTATTCTGTAAAACCTATTTTGAACACAACCATGTGTGGAGTGTTACACCCTGATTTATGTATGTATTGATAACTGGAAGACAAAGGAATAGAAGTGCTTTAACAAGTCGGGTGGCGCATGTACCCATAGTTCCTGTTTTACACATTTTCCTTTCACAACTTGTGAAACTAGGGTAAGGTAAGGTAGCAGGTTTAAGAAGATGAGCAGTACCATCTCTATTCTGTTAGTGCGTTCAAATATCCCGTTTTGCCTGTGTAGCAGTCTCACACGGGTAGTAGATAAATTCCAGCATTCGATCAGAAATTGTAGCAAATGGGTAATTGAAGTACTTCGTCGCTTTACCTTGGTGCATTGTACAGGAGAGAAAGAAATTTTACATTGTTAAGAATTTCAGAGAATTAGAAGACTTGTGGGTACAGTAAGTATTTCGTTTATCAGGGAGATTAAAAGCATAAAACAAACCGATGTTGAGAAAGTGTCATATGATGTACTTTTCACATGGCAGACGACAGGTTTATGATTGACAGCTTTGCTGATCTTTCGACGCCTGACCGCGACTGCAAAGAGCACATATCGATCTATACACACAAACTCTTGACGTTTTTCATACATTTTTTTTCTAGATAGCACTAGAAAATGAGACTTTTTTTCGGTTTTGCTTCTTAGCTGAATAATGGGCAATAGAAAAGCCAATGATAGACACTATTGCTCTTCGTGTATATTATTAAAATTTTATTATCGTACTCTTCTATTATCTCATTGTATGTGAAAGTTTGACTTTGTATTTGCACTGAAACTTAGATGTTTTGTGATATTCACATTCTGACCTATTCACGTGCTGTAAACAATCTAGGAACTTCATTAGAACAAAATTTTGAACATTTTCAACACGAGGATATATAATAAAAGAATTAAAATCAACAACATACGTTGTTTGTATTTATTAATTCGTTTATTTTTTATATGCACTAATCTCTAATCCAAGCAAAAGTTTATAAAAATAATTTTGCCTTTATTGGGGAGACGGTACGACAGTATCGTGCAATCTTTAGAAGAGCCCTTTTGACGGAGGAGGGGGAATTCTCTAAAACGGTCGACTCTCCGCGCTTTGGTACGCATTACAGTTGTCTGATTATTTTTCTGGTTTTATTTGTTTATCGACTTCAAGAATTAATTCGATCCCAAGTGTTCATTGATCATGCGTGATATTGGAAGTATGAGAGCACGTTGTTTGGATGTGAAAAATAAATCAAGAATGCGTAAACAAGTCTGCGAAAAGGAGCGTATTTCACTTAATGACAGATAATAAACATGAAATGAGTGTTTGCTAAACGACACAACAAACAACTGTGTTTCATGCTTTATTCAGCGAGTACTGCTTGCCATTCAAAGCTTGCATAGAAACGCAAATAGCTTTGGCAAAAAATGTTAAATTTGTAAGCGAAATGCATATGGTATAATGCATATATATTTCTATAAACGCAAAGAATTCCTTTTATAATTATGTCAAGACAGCAGGCATCGCCTTGCGCTACAGACATTCTTTTAAAGATAAAATTAGTAAATTTTTTTCACCTTTCTCGTGCAGTCGTTACACTCTAAAATATATGACAACTAAAATGAGTGTAAATATACACATTACAGTCCACCACAGCTTGGCCGCATAGCAATCTCTCCGAGTATTACCTCCGATTATTTCTTTAAATTCTACTTCAAATCGTAGGCTTACAGGTCACAGCAGTTTCAAATATACATGTAGTAAATACCAGAACAATTTGAATAATTAGTAAGAGAGAAACAGAGTTCCTGTCATCTTTTGCTGAAGAACTTCCGATAATCTGGTCTCACAGCTGTTCTGCATAAAAATGTGATAATTAGAATTGTTTGAATAGCCTAATGAGTAACGAGTAATTAAGAGTGGACGGATTGCGNTATCACATTCTTAGCGTACAAATGGCAGAATGTTCAAAAGTGCAATCTTAAACCTCTTGCACAAATGTTTTTTGCTTGAATTTTTATTTAGTCAAATATTCAGCATTGTTGTCAACTTTTACATTTTACATTCATTTTAGTACAGTTTTATCTGTTCACTCACTCAGTGGTACATGTTAAAATACTGACATTTTGCAGATATAATTTTTTCTGGCCATAAAATTGTTCTTGTACAGTTTTTTGCTTGGTGCTGTGCATCTTTCTATATGAAAATATTATATGAATATACATAGAAAATATTATAAATACACATATATGTGCAATATACATTTTATATTTAGGAGATGTGGCTGGCTCCAACGCAAACAAAACACATTTTGTGTGAATGTATATGTTAATGAAAAAATCTATTGATATAATTGATGTTTTGTCTCTGCAGTTGCAGTGAAATACTCGAGGTGTTTTTGAATTGTGACATCGTTTTAGCTTGATAGTTACCACATTTTTTCCATTTTCAAAGATTGTAGAAAATATACATACATTCAAATATATATATATATATATATATATATATATATATATATATATATATATATATATAACACTTGGTTAAATTAGTAGAGGGTTTTCATTCATTGAATCAATTACCCCCCAAAAATGCAATTTTCAATTATTCTGTAAAACCTATTTTGAACACAACCATGTGTGGAGTGTTGCGCCCTGATTTAGGTATGTAGTGATAATATAACTGGAAGACAAAGGAATAGAAGTGCTTTAACAAGCCGGGTGGCGCATGTACCTATAGTTCCTGTTTTACACATGTTCCCTTCACAACTTGTGAAACTAGGGTAAGGTAAGGTAGCAGGTTTAAGAAGATGAGCAGTACCATCTCTGTTCTGTTACTGCGTTCAAATATCCCGTTTTGCCTGTGTGGTAGCAGTCTCACACGGGTAGTAGATAAATTCCAGCATTCGATCAGAAATTGTAGCAAATGGGTAATTGAGGTACTTCGTCGCTTTACCTTGGTGCATTGTACAGGAGAGAAAGAAATTTTACATTGTTAAGAATTTCAGAGAATTAGAAGACTTGTGGGTACAGTAAGTATTTCGTTTATCAGGGAGATTAAAAGCATAAAACAAACCGATGTTGAGAAAGTGTCATATGATGTACTTTTCACATGGCAGACGACAGGTTTATGATTGACAGCTTTGTTGATCTTTCGACGCCTGACCGCGACTGCAAAGAGCACATATCGATCTATACATACAAACTCTTGACGTTTTTCATACATTTTTTTTTCTAGATAGCACTAGAAAATGAGACTTTTTTTCGGTTTTGCTTCCTAGCTGAATAATGGGCAATAGAAAAGCCAATGATAGACACTATTGCTCTTCGTGTATATTATTAAAATTTTATTATCGTACTCTTCTATTATCTCATTGTATGTGAAATTTTGACTTTGTATTTGCACTGAAACTTAGATGTTTTGTGATATTCACATTCTGACCTATTCACGTGCTGTAAACAATCTAGGAACTTCATTAGAACAAAATTTTGAACATTTTCAACACGAGGATATATAATAAAAGAATTAAAATCAACAACATACGTTGTTTGTATTTATTAATTCGTTTATTTTTTATATGCACTAATCTCTAATCCAAGCAAAAGTTTATAAAAATAATTTTGCCTTTATTGGGGAGACGGTACGACAGTATCGTGCAATCTTTAGTCAAGAAGTTATAATCTCATTATAACTTCTTGCTTTAGTAGAGCCCTTTTGACGGAGGAGGGGGAATTCTCTAAAACGGTCGACTCTCCGCGCTTTGGTACGCATTACAGTTGTCTTCAATTATTTTTCTGGTTTTATTTGTTTATCGACTTCAAGAATTAATTCGATCCCAAGTGTTCATTGATCATGCGTGATATTGGAAGTATGAGAGCACGTTGTTTGGATGTGAAAAATAAATCAAGAATGCGTAAACAAGTCTGCGAAAAGGAGCGTATTTCACTTAATGACAGATAATAAACATGAAATGATTGTTTGCTAAACGACACAACAAGCAACTGTGTTTCATGCTTTATTCAGCGAGTACTGCTTGCCATTCAAAGCTTGCATAGAAACGCAAATAGCTTTGGCAAAAAAATGTTAAATTTGTAAGCGAAATGCATATGGTATAATGCATATATATTTCTATAAACGCAAAGAATTCCTTTTATAATTATGTCAAGACAGCAGGCATCGCCTTGCGCTACAGACATTCTTTTAAAGATAAAATTAGTAAATTTTTTTCACCTTTCTCGTGCAGTCGTTACACTCTAAAATATATGACAACTAAAATGAGTGTAAATATACACATTACAGTCCACCACAGCTTGGCCGCATAGCAATCTCTCCGAGTATTACCTCCGATTATTTCTTTAAATTCTACTTCAAATCGTAGGCTTACAGGTCACAGCAGTTTCAAATATATATGTAGTAAATACCAGAACAATTTGAATAATTAGTAAGAGAGAAACAGAGTTCCTGTCATCTTTTGCTGAAGAACTTCCGATAATCTGGTCTCACAGCAGTTCTGCATAAAAATGTGATAATTAGAATTGTTTGAATAATGAGTAACGAGTAATTAAGAGTGGACGGATTGTGTTATTTCTTACACTGAACAACAACGAAGAGGCTGTTTATAGACCTGATCAGGAGTTGAAATCAACGCACCAGGACGGAATAAAGGCTTAGAACACAGAGTTTTCTAATTAACGTCTGATATCTTATTTATAAAATTAAGGTTATCAAAATAGATAAAGTGAAAGTGGGCGGATGCTCCTATACATCAACAAATTCTGTATTTACACTTTTGGACGGACTGCACTGATATTGAATTCAAGTTTCACATCGAATATAAGAATCTAAGAATAAACTTTTATATGAAGATATGAAATAACATTCGATAAATTACAACTAGGCTGAAGTCTGAGTTTTGACAAAAGCAATCGGTTGGTTCGGTCTCCTTGGAACTACACAAAATTGGTTTATGAGCAACTGATTATCATAAAAATCTTGGATTAAGTGCTCTCATCAATCATTTGGATTACCATCTTGATTACTTGGACATTTATTTATAGTAAATTCACAATAATTCATTTGCAATTGAAAAAA